CTGACACTATCCTCGTGGAACTCATGCCATTTCCCGAGGAATGGAATTATGAGCGTGAGTGGAGTCTCTCATGCTTTCTAAGATTCGCTTGTAGCAAAAACCAGTTTAGTCACTGTGTTTCCTCCTTTTTTGCAGCAACTTCCTGGGCGCCATGCGAAGTTCCCGATTTACCTAGCTGGGTCCGGAGGTTGGTGACCCATTTAACTTGCGACGAGCATAGGTGGTGAGCTATGTCCTGGGGCAGATGGGAAGCGAAACACCAAGGTATGTGTACGCTGCTTTTACCTTGGTATTCGTATATTTGACATGACATTTTCCTCTTTCTTTTGTACTGGTCTTGCCGTCGTAGGTATCGGAAGGTCCCTAGAGGCGAGGTTGTGCTCCTCCGGAGAGGGGGAGGAGTTGTCTGCTTTCGAGCCAATGGACGATGGGGATAAACGGTATATGTACTTGCAGTGCGATGGAGCTTTTAGCGGGGCCAAATAGGTCCGTGTCTTCGAGGGGAAAACATCGCCCGAGCCTGCTGTTCTTGAAGTTTTCAGTTCCGGAGCGGTGGTTCCTCCGAGTAATCATGCTCTGACCATGGTTGGTTCTTCTAGGGCCGAGGGGCTGGACCAATAGGAGTGTGCTCGTCCTTCGAGGAAGTCTACCATCTTCACTTCGCGGTGAGTTTCGGCATAGTCCTTCCACATCTCATGCCTTCCCTTCCTCATCGAGTTTTTCTTCTGCAGGCCTTTGATAGGCTCAGGTCTGAGCTACTCCATCATGGGGCTAGGCTTCAGAAAGATCTAGATGAAGGTAGGTCCCTTAGGCTCCTCTACGAGGAGAGAGAGGTTGAGTTGATGCACTAGCGATTTGAGGCGTACCGGAGCTCGAATTACGAGAGATATTTGATGGAGTAGGTAACCTCTCGTAGTATGCATTTCACTTTTTAACCTTTAACGTTAATCTTTTCACCTATCTCAGTTGTAGAAAATGACGGAGGCTCTGGAGCACCTTAGGGGTGAAGCCGACCGAGTTAGGAATGACTGTGGCGAACTAAGAGCTTAGGTGCAAGCTCAAGCTTCAGAGGAGAATGGTGCATTGGCTAAAGTTCCTGCCTTCGAGGCCCAACTCCACTTGGCTTGTGACAACGCTTCAGTTCAAGTGGATATGATCGCAAAGCTCGAGTTCGAACTTTTAATGGTCCGGGCTAAAATCATTGATGCTCAGGTTGAAGTAGCATTGCGTCGGATTAAGGCTGATCAGGAGATGGCGATTCATTTGAAGGATGCTACTGATGCCCAAGCCGAGTTGAAGAGGGCCCTCGATCGTGAAAAAAGGATCGAGGAATATGTTTGTTGCATATCCCGAAGAGAGGTACTCGAAGAGATCGTCCCCAGGTGTTTTATTCTCCTGGAAGAGCAGGCTCGAGCGAGGGCGGACGAGCGTGATGCTCGGTCACTTCTTGCCGATGCCGCGGAGGGTGAATATGAGGCTGATAGGACGTAGTCTTCTGAAGTGGAGCATAGACTTTTCCATTTAGTATGTGATATTCACAGAGCGGGTTTGTAGATGGAGAACGCGCCTTTTTGCGTCTGTAAATAAAAGAAAACCTGAAGTTTTGTCTCTTATGTATCCCTTTCTGCTTTGCTTCTGACCAGGCGGGCTAGTTTTGAAGTTGAAACTACCATACTCGGGATCACAAATGGCTCCGGCCAAACACAAATGACTAAGGTCAATGCCATTACTTTGAATCTACTTTGAAAAGAACCGGTTAAAACAGGCTACCCTCAATAGGAAAACGAGCTTCGACCATGTCATCTCCAAATCACAAGTCTTCGAGCTACTCAACCTATGAGCTAAACCTTCTGAGGTGCTCGAACGTCACCGCTAACAACTTGAAATTGAGGTTCTTCCCGAACCGACGACTGGTCAGGCAAAATCATTTCAAAAAGTCCTTAACGAGAGGAAACAAAGCCTACATATGCCCACGGGCAAAAGCGTAAGAGCCATTGTCACCAGTCAAACGAGCCTCAGGGCCACACACTAAAAGGTCGCAATGACCAAAAGCGTAAAATCCACTATCACCAACTTAAAAATTGAAACCTTGAGGATTAAAATAAGCTCGAGTCGTAACCCGATTCGGAGGCTGAATCCAAAATAGGTAATTATATACATGCCTAAGGGCACAACGTAAAAGCCATCATCGCCAGCTTCACGAGCCTTAGGGACACATACCCAAAAGGTCGCTCCAACCCAAGGCGTAAGAGCCATAGTCACCAGCTCAAAAAATGATTGAGGGCCAATTAAGCTCGAGTCGCAACCCGACTCGGAAACTGAACCCAAAATAGTTAAAATACAAATGCAAAGGGAAAGGTGTAAGAGCCATTGTCATATGCCCATGCAGGCACAAAAGATTGAAGGTCAAGTAGGCTCGAGTCAAAACCTGACTCAGAGACCAAACCCAAAATAGCTGAGTAAAGCGTAAGAGCTCTAACACCAGCTTGCATTAAAAGCCGCATCTACCGAGCATGAAAGAGCCTCCGAGCCTGCCTAATGATCTCCGAAACCGTATTACGAATCTATGGATTCTAGTTTATATCGAGGGTATGCCCTTTCGGGAGTCTTACAAATGTGGCATATAGCCTTAACTTCGGGATCGAGTTTTATGCCTGTAGTAAGGTCTTACAAATTTTCATGCCTGTTGAGGTCTTATAGTTTTTTCATGCCTATTGAGGTCTTACAGTTTTTTCATGCCTGTTGAGGTCTTACAACTTTTACATGCCTATTGAGGTCTTACAGTTTTTTCATGCCTGTTGAGGTCTTATAGCTTTTTCATGCCTGTTGAGGTCTTACAGTTATTTTCATGCCTATTGAGGTCTTACAGTTATTTTTTGTTGTTATGAAAAATAGATCTAGCTAGACCGAGTTTTCCCACTCGGGGTCTTACGTCCTCGAGTTTATTAGTAAATGGCGATTGACGATAGTCTCTGAGTCATTGAGTTTGCTTAGGCTTGAAAGCCGTTACTCGTGAGCATGGAATTGCCCCGTTGAGGTATTACGAGCACGGAGTTCCGACCCTGAGGTCATGTGTGTATCAAATTGTTGACACAAAGTCTCCGAGTATTTCGGGACGTACTCGGTGGAGGGATCCTTGTCGTGAGCATGCTGAATTTTCTTTGGAGTACGAGATGCTTTTGGCGAGAGATATTCTTTGATTGCTTGGCATAAGTACATGTTGTTTCGTTGCCATGAGCTCGGCCTGCGCGGGCACGACTCTTTTGACCATTTGGCTCGGTATATTCTTTCCTATTGGAACTTAGTCTGTCATTCCTCGGTCCTTCCGAGTGGAAGGCATCTTAAGGGCAGGGGGTGCCTTCTAGCATTTGGGGTTGATTTCAAAAGAAGCCCTGCAAGCTTGTCGGATCCTCCTTAGGCGGCGCATCGCACCGCAAAGAACCTTGCCGGCGAGACCCTCTTCGGGACGAAAGCTCGGCCGAGGGAGAAGAGTGCGATAGGTGACATTAAGGCCTTGGGATCTTCGAGTAGGGTTAACACTTCCAAACGCCCTGGCCGGGTGTCTTCATACGGGTCAGTGTAAGGAGGGAGGTGGTCTTACCTTATCGCGGGGTGCGTAGGCGATGTTCTGAGGCCCGATATGTCCCTGCTATTTTAGAGTGAGGACTCTATATAGCCCTTCGCTGTGATTAATCGGGCTTGGCCGAAGACATGGTTTAATTACCCTTTGACTCTTTCGAGAGTATTGGTGTCGACGCTACATTATGTGATGCGAACACTCCCATTTCCGCATGTTGCTTCCTACCGACGGTTTTAATTCTGTCCCTTGCGAGGGATTTCATCCTTTGGCAAAGAGGGGACGACATTGCCTTCTCGCAGTGCGTCCGCGGCCGTCTGAATAAGGCGTTCATGCCTTGCGCCTCCTTTGATGATATGTATCTTGGCGTTCCGGTCTGCGCCAGCTGTGCTGAATGAGAGAATGGTCTTTTTTATCGTCGTCTCAATCTCCGTGTGGAATCCGCCAAAGATTCGAGAGGTGGGCGTGATTTGGTCCGGCGGTCCGAGCCTCCCTATTATCCTCGGCCCGACAATGTTGATCGAGCCACCTGAATTCATGAGCATATGTTTTATTTGAAATGGATCGAATGAGGAAGAAGGTTACCAGTGCGTCAGTGTGAGGTTGAGACAAGGTCTCGGTGTCCGCTTCGCTGAATGTGAGGGAGTCCTCGGGAATATATCCCCGGATCCGCTTTTCTCTGGTGACGGGCAGTTTTACCCTCCTTTTTGTAAGTTCCTGGAGAGTGTCATCGCTCTTCCACTATCATGGTAATATGTCGTGGCCTATTTTCTTCGTTCTTCTTGGCCGCCTTTCTTACTCTGAACTGAACTCGAGCCCGATCGCTCGACAGTTCCCAGCGGTGATTCTTATTGAGTAGCTTGGCTATTTTCCTTAGAGCTGGTGGCCATCTTATATAGTTCACACACCAAGATGTGATTCCTCTAATAGGGATTCGATTGAATAGGTGTGGGCCATTAGGCATCCCTGGTTTCACTGACGGTGAACACGATGTCTGATACAGCGATGTTGAAATTGTATCCTGATGGGCGGGCACCCTCGCTGGCCTCGTGTCCCTATCAAATCTGGCTCTGTTGACGATTCCTGAAGGATATTGCCCTCAATCCATTCTTCGATCGTTGCGAGGTACATTGCGTCTTGGGGCATTCCTCCTATCAGTGGCGTACGGGCGGTATTTTTCTTTGTCTGACATTGGTTTCTTTGCCAGGAGCCTGCTTGGGTATACTGAGCTCGAGGGGGCTCCCAGCTCACTACTAGAAAATAGGCTTTTAGTGGCAATTATTTACTGACGATTCGTTAATTGCCGCTAATATATTATTTAAACCTAGCTATTTATCGGTAAATGAATATTTGTCGGGCATAAGTTATTTTCTATGGTAATTGAAATGAATGATCAGTAAAACCCATACAACTCACTATGAAGCCTCTTTCATTATTTTATCTTACCTCCAATTTTTTTAGATTCCCTCCATTCCTTTTTTTCCATCAAAATCAAACTTTTCCCTCTTTGAAATATTGATTTCATAGATTATCTTTTCTATCCCTCATATCTATCTCCACATATCACCCGTTTCTCGCCGTCGTAAAGGCTATTAGCCACCATGGATGCTAACTAACTCTCATTTGAACTTTTTCTCTATCATTCCTTTCTCACAAACCAAGTAGGTAGTAGCGCCTCTTCTTCTGCTCTCAAGGAAGTTCGATCCGTTGGTTTTCCTTTTGCATTACAGAGGAAAAAGCAGATGAGGGAAGTGATGGAGAAAGCCGGGAAGGTGTTTTTTCAAATTATTATTTTTTGTCAATATGTACTTTCTATTGTAATGGGAGGACCTTTAGTTTTTGATATGTTGATTTCCAGAATTTCAAATATGTTGATAATTTCTATATTATTGGGGATTTTGCTCAAAATGCTGCATAATTCAGGTGTGAATTATTGAAGTAGATTTTCCTGGAACTTGAATTATTCTAAGAATAGGGCTTTTTTCTTTACTTATTTGTTATTACTATTCTTTCAATGTTCACTTGTAATATGAGAATTTATAAGTGTATATCTTGGTTGTTGATTCCAATGTTCTTAGAATATTAGTCAAAACTTGTAGGTTTCTTTGAAAAATGCATATTTTAGTTTGGTCTTGTATTTACCAACAAGATGTTCCAGAAGATGTGATGACCGAGGAACATCATATTATCATGTCCTTTTTCTTATTTACAAGCATTTGACACATAGACTTTATATGGGTATAGTGATTATTTTGCTTGATCTGATTATTCCAATTTTCTGTGTCTGGAAACGCACTTGCATTGGCAGCTCTACATTTATTCCAAATGGAATTAGTGTATATCCTCAAATCGTTTTGGTCAACGAGTATATTCTCTACTGGTCATTGCTTCTATTGATGATCATACCAAATCATATAGTAATTTAAGCCTCATTCAGAAAAGCTTTAAGCTGCTTAAAGTGTTAGATCCATGGGACATCAATGTCGAATGCTATTTTCTAGATGGGATTGATTATTTGGTTCATTTAAGTACTTGGTAATTCCTGTAAGATGAAATCTACTCCATCATCTATAGATAAACTTGGGAATCTCAGATACTCTTGATAGATAATTTATTGTTTTAACATTATCACATGACTTATTCAGTTGTTAAATGAACATTATGCAATTTTTACTTTTTTCTCGTGTCTTTTCTTGGCAAGCCAGTTAAGATAACCCAAAATCTTTCGAAATGCACCCGATGATTACAGGTGCTAGGTTTCTCTATGTGACACGATCCTTATTCTCACCTAGCATATATATTTTTTTTTGTTTTTAATTCATGTTATTTCAAGAGGTAAATGAGTAGTTGAGACGGAGAAAGAAAAACCTTGAGATCTCAGGTTCGAATTTTACCACAACACTCAGCATGTGTCATCCTGTAGGCTATAATAGGGTGTAAAGCTGGTCCGTACGCCATCTTTATCAAACAATAAAAAAAATAGAGAAAAAGAAGCAAACTTTGCTGGGATTAAGCTTATGATAGAATGCTGCATATATATCTCTTAGAGGTCCATTTGAAGTTTATTTCTTTGAACTGCCTTTAATTGTTCAACTGAATCTTTTATCTGCTTTGATGAGATGTAACTCATGAATACTTCTCTAGGTGATTGTGAAATTTCATATATGGAATATACAAGATTTATTTGGCTTAAGCACGGGGATGAATGCAGAGACCAGTACATGGGTAGGAAATTAAATAAAGAGAGGGAGAAGTATCATGATTGTCATCATAGAGATCATTACATGAATCGAAATGACAAAAAGGAAAAGGAGAGGACAAAGATAGAGATGAAGAAGATCATCATCAAATTTGAGATTTTGACCAGTAAGAGCAACAACACTTCTCTTATATTATTTATTTTGTTTAAATTTGGTGTTATGCTCCTGTTATTAGTGGGATTCAGACTCGAGGAGCATATTTTATGTTATTTAATATTTCATGTCGTTGTGGACTAGTAGTACAAGCTTGTTCTATTTTGGTATGTGTATTTGGGTTTGAGATTTGCATTCCATTGCAATTCTTAATTATACAACGAGTCAAAGCTCTATTGGAAATAACCTCTCTACCTCATACGTGGTAGAGGTAAGGTTTGTATATACCCCACACTCTACAAACCTCACTTTTAGGATTACATTGAGTATGTTGTTACTGTTGTTGTTGTTGTTGTTGTTGTTGTTGTTGTTGTTGTTGTTGTTGTTGTTGTTGTTGTTGTTGTTGTTGTCGTCTTAATCATACAATGGGATGTTGTCTGCATACCACAATGGCTGAAACAAAATTGGTCCCAACAACAAAGAGAAATGAGGATTTATGTTCTGCATTTGAGAAGAGCAGAGACAGATTTATTGGAATTTGATCTTTTTGATATAAAAGTGAGCATGGGCCACGTTACTTGTGTAGAATTATTATAGTTTAAATTTCTTTCGTAGATTGGTTCTACGCAATCAATCATGTTAGTAGATAAAAGTCATCAAGTACTTTTATTAAACTTATTGTTCAATATGTAAACATTAATTAAACAAACCCCATGGTATTGCATATATAACCAAATTTCAGTAGTTTCGCTTTGTTATTCACCTGGATTGCTCTCACGATTACCTTTGGTTTCTTTGTTATGAATTTTCCATATTGTGAGTTTATGCAAGAGACTAAATTTATGTCTTGGTTTCTGTATGGTCAATTGCAGGTACTGAAAGGTTGGATCACCGTTATAGGGAGTCTAAAGTGTTGATGAGCTCATGAGAGTAGGTAAAGATTTTTGGGTCTTCATGAAGAAGTGATTCTATTAGCAATTCTATTAGAAAATCACATGGCTCTTAATTTTATGGGTACTGCAATTAGATTGTTTGTAAAAAGTGCATAATTTTTTTAATGTTACATTAAGTTATCACTCAGAAATAGGACTATATTTTATTACCTAGTCATGTTGATATTCACTTTATTTTATCATTTCAGGTCGTACATGATGTTCAAAATTTGGCATCTGGAAGACTTTATTTTGATCAAGAGTTTGAAGAAGTTTTTATGCGTTGTGTATTGTATAGTGTAGTAGCTATTTGGTACACTAGTTATTAGACACAAAATGACACTAGATATATGATCCAAATAATTTAGTTTATTTATCATGTTGACGCTTTTGAAATTATAGACTAGTAGTTATTTTTGTTTGTTGTGAATTTGATAAAATTTCTCACGCTGCTTATTATTATTATTATTATTATTATTATTATTATTATTATTATTATTATTATTATTATTATTATTGAATATAAATAGGCATGACTAATCTCTCAATTTTGCAATAAAAATATTATAAATATTTTTGCTACCAGCCATTATAATTACCACTAGAAAGTCCTCTTTTACTGGTAGAACATTGGGTTTTAATGGCAAAAAATAGGCTGCTAATTGCATAGCCTATGAAATACTAAAACAATTTTGCTGGCCATTTAATTGCTGGTAAACATTGGCTGCTAAAATTTATACACCTTTAGCGACAATAATTAGAGTGTTTACCAGCACTTGGCGTGATGGCCGGTAAAGCCTTTGTTGACGCTGGATACGCCGACTATTATCTAATTGCCGGCAAAAGTTTTAACGGCGATTTTTATTGCCGTTAAAGACCAAAATAATTGCCGCTAAAAGCCTTTTTTGTCGTAGTAGCTGGTCATCCACGACCCTGATTTGCAACTGGTGCTGGAAGTGGGCATCCGACCAGGTCTTGGCTGGATACCTGATCAAGTTCTATTTCAACTGCCTTGAAATCACCGGGCTTTGTTCGTTTAGGCTTTGAGTGAAGGCCTGCGCCGCCCATTCGTTTGAGACAGGGGGTAGTTCCATTCGTTCCATCTGGGAACGAGATGAGAATTCTCGCAACATTTTATTCTCCCTTTGCTTAATCTCGGATGCGTCGGGCTTTCTCGTCGTTGCTTCGATGGCACTGGCGTGTGCCTTTATGAAGGAATCCGCCAGTATGGTAAGTGCGTTTATGGGGTTGGGAGCTAGGCTATGATGCCACATCATGGCCCCCTTTGAGAGCGTTTCTCCGAACCTCTTCAATAAGAAAGACTCGATCTCATCGTCTTTTGTGTCATTGCCTTTCACTGCGCACGTATAGGCAGTGATGTGTTCGTTGGGATCTGAGGTCCCATTGTACTTTGGGAGTTCTATCATTCCAGACTTCTTTGGAATGGGTTTCGGGGCCGCTTCCTTGGGGAATGGCCTTTGTATGAACTCCTTCGAATCCACACCCTTGAGGACTGGGGGTGCACCCGGGGTCTGGTCGACCCTAGAGTTATAGGTCTCGACCTTCTTATCGTTGGCTGCTATCATTTTCTTGCCTGATTCGATCCTTTTGGTGAGATCCTCAAGCATTTTTACTTTGCCAGGGTCGGTTATCGATCAATTATTGCTCGATCTCCTAGGTACCTGTTCAGCTGGGGGAGCTGTTTCTAGTGCTACTATGCTGGGAGTCTTCGAGTGGCATTGTAACTGAGCGATAGTCAACTATTGTGCCGGCAACATTTTGAAAATAATATGAAGACTAACTTCTTGTTCTTTCCAAGCAGGGATTTTTTGGGCTTCCTGTTGGTTGGCATGCCACATGCTCCTGTCGTTGTGTGAGGTTTTGTTGACCTGCTGTGCATCTTGCGAATCCGCGTCTGCTAAAATTGGTCTGGGCGCGTTATCGGGATTCTGCGGTGGCGCGTCGATGACTGGAACAGCCACACCGTTTTTCCCGTGGTTTCCGAGGTTGTCGTTCTCGATTCTGTTTATAGAGCCAGACATTTTGTCTTGAAATCAAAAGATATTGGACAAGAAAAAGCGTGAAAGATAACTTGGGTTGTGTAATGAAACCAACAAGAAAATAATCACTATTATTTTTAGCCCCACGGTGGGTGCCAAACTGTTTACCGTGAAAATGGTAATAACAATTAAATTTGTAAAATGGGACTCTAAAAATACGTGATCTATTTTTATGCTAGTTGTTAGAGCGGTGGATGTTAGATATGTGAAGTTTAATCCACGAAATACAAGCTAAAACGGGGCAGTAATCAAACCGAGGGGCTTGCTACCCAGGCCTCGGACTGATCGATGAAAGGCCTCAAGGTCAATGCCTTGGCTCGAGCTCGAGATATCAGGGATAACCAGGAAGGGAATAACAGTTAGGATATAATCAACCAGGCTCTTTGTGGCCAATATCAAGCAATAAAAGAAGAACAAGTATGAAAGCAATAAATGGAAAGAGTCGCCTCGAGCGAGTAAGTAGAGAGAAGAGAGAGAAAAAGTTGTTATTGATCTTGTGTAGAATGGTTGGAGCAACAGCAACCCCTTACAAAATGGTGAGGATCCCCTTTATATAGGAGGGGAAATACAACATAGTACAGAATGCATTAATTGTAAAGACACGAAGATGGGACGGCTAGACGTGACACCTCGATACAGGCTCTAAGTAGGCCGGCTCTGTTAGACTTAGCCGTGTGCTTTGGGAATTCCCCGTTTTGCTCTAGCCTCGATCTTCGTCTTCTTTGAGTCAGGCCTCGACAAGCCCCGAGGGAGGGAACTCGGTCGCAACTCCACGTCCTCGGGGTCTCGAGACATTCTTCTAAAGTGACTTGATAGCAAGAAATTAGGCCCTCTAATTTCGCCGCATACATACATATATATATATATATAGATAAGCCCTTTAATGCTTCCTCATTACTGTTCATCTTAAGCATGATATCCTAATATTATCTCGTACTTTGTAACTTTTGTCCATTGTTGATTCACCTTAATGGTGATCTATAATCTACCACTAATAACTTGAAACCTCTTATGTAACACTTTTACACTAGGGCTCATGTCTCATCGGGAACATTTGCAGTTATTTGCCTGATCCACCTAGGGGATGATACTAAACTTCAAGAACCATATTTTATATCATCCCAACGTGATTCATCTTATGGGGGTATTCTAATCCCATGCAATTCATGAAATGACTTCTCTTTGGATCATTACTCATCGAAGGCCTAAATGTCATTCTCTTATCATTTATCACAATAACACCCTTATTCTACTACCAAGGTAGAATTCCCACTTTTCTAAATGCTACTAGTCTTAAACTCCTCTGAGTACATTCAGGATGTACTGAGCTTTTTATAACTTACGGAAACCATCAGCTTTGTTGTTTTGATGGGTTTAATTTCGAGGACTTACCTATTCTCGTCACCTTTTCACTTACCTTTTCTTATCCTTAATCTTGTCTACCTAAAATCTTATCTTTCTACCATACTTTAGCTTGTGACCTACACATATATATTTATGCTACTCGCAACCTTCCTTTAACTTGATAGCACCACAAATTTTCTTATGTTATTCTTGAAACTCAAGCGAGACATCATGCCGTCTCTAACTCTTCTTTAATCTCTTAACTATACCTTTCGGTACCTAGAAACCATAGGGTGGAAGATATGCGACTACTGACACCACTATCATTTTTGGATAATGAATCATAGTACTTCTAGCCCTCTATTGATATAAAACTATACAGGACGCGTCTGCAGGCCTCTAGAGATTGCCGAACTGTATCATGGTTGGTACAAGGCCTCGACTTACCCATCAAACTTGTATATATAAAATGGACTCCAAGGTATAAACCTTGTAACTCCAAGGAAGTAGAGTTTACCAACCAAGCTGATGTTTGACTCTGTTTGCTGGGAAGGTCTATCCAACTGTCTATCAGGACCTGCAGGCATGAAATGTAACGTCCCAACAAAAGGGATGACAATACAAAATACTGTACCGAGTATGTAAGATAATAGAGTAACTGAAAGGTGAACTGAACTGATAATATAATAACTGAAAGTAACTGGGAGTCAAAGATAATCTCCAGATATGCTTACCTGCTGATACTAACATGACTCTCTCAATATAGTAAGTAAAATAGTTGCCAACCCAATAAGGCTCGGTATGTGTAACTGCTCTACCGTAGTAGGCACATTCATAGGCGCTCGACCATACTAGGCTCTCTATCTCGGCCATTCTAGGCTCGCTCATAGGCACTAGGCCACAGTAGGGTCGGTATATAATATACCATATGATCAATAGTTGCTCAATAGGGGCCTGACCACCGATTATAGCTCGATGGTGGTGAAAATACTGTAATACTGTATATATATAGACTCTATGCTCTCTTGGATTAAAGAATACAATACTAAACTAAATATAAAGTCCCGATAAGGGAGAATGCTATAACTTATGAGACTAGGAGAATGTACATAAATGCAGGAATATGAATATCTCTTTATGTCTCATTATCAAACACATATAGTTACGGGATCATGCCAAAATAAAGGAAAGGTTTAGCCTTAACATAACTTAACCTCATTGAGCCCTTAATAGCTTCCAAGCAACTCTTTAAACAACTCAACTCAGTCTACCATAGCATAAGGAGATTCAAAATCAGTGCTGAGTAAAGGATATGTCCGTAATTTAAGCTAGTAGCTCATTTATGTACATTTTGGCAGCATCTCCCATGTAACAAGGGCCTCCTCCAATACCATATACCAACAACAAAAACTAGAGCAATACAATAAGAACAACATCAACAATAGGGTACAAAATACCTCATTAACAAGTCATCAACATATCACGACGAGTGGCAAGCTCGGATTGAATCCCTTTAGCACCCTTCAACCCCATTATCATTCATTCTTGAACTTAGTAATATATTCAGTATAATAACCAATAACTTTTAAAGGATTTCTAACATTGTACTCAATTTTAAAGTTACCTGAAATAGCCCAACACAAGATAATATTATTGTCGACAACTTCCAAGTGCTTTATAGCCATTTCCTTTTCTAGTTACCAATTTCATCAACAAAATTGACGTGTAAACCAACATAATCATACTAACATTATCATATCCAACTTATTTTTGATAATTTCCAGTCACTTAAAGTTCATATGAGAAACTTTCAAATCAATCCATCAAGAACAACAACATCTCAAGCTAATCCAAGTATTATCTTGTAGTTTATCATCCTAACAACTTAACCAACATACAAGCAAGCTTAAGCACAATTAGTAGGCTGTTATACTCACCTTAGACAATAGCAAAAACTTGAAATTTCATCCAAATACATGTCACGCCCCAAAACTGAGGAGTGCGAGCGTTGCTCA